GATCCCAACGGGTCCCAGTGGATCCCAGCAGGATCCCAACGGGTCCCAGCGGGTCCCGATGGGTCCCAACAGATCCCATCAGATCCCAGCGGGTCCCAACGGGTCCCAGCGGATCCCAACGGGATCCCAGTGGGTCCACACGGGTCCCAACGGGTCCCAATGTATCCCAGCGGATCCCAACGGGTCCAGACAGATCCCAGTGGATCCCAATGGGTCCCAACTGATCCAAACGGATCCCAATGGGTCCCAACTGATCCAAACGGATCCCAACGGGTCCCAACTGATCCAAACGGATCCCAACGGGTCCCAACAGATCCCAGTGGGATCCCAACAGGTCCCAACAGGTCCCAACTGATCCAAACGGGTCCCAGTGGGATCCCAACAGGTCCCAACGGGTCCCAATGGATCCCAACAGATCCCAGGGGGTCCCAGTGGGATGGGGGAGCTGCTGGGAACTGGTGGAGGTGTTGGGAATGGGGATTTTTGGGAATGGGGATTTTTGGGAATGGGGATTTTGGGAACCGGTGTCACCACTGGGATCTGGTGGATCCCTTGGGAAGCGCCGAATCCACTGGGAGCCACTGGGAGCCACCTCTGCCAACGCTTCCCATGAGCACCAACCGTCCCCTGATGGTGACCAACACCCCTCAATGGGTGACCAACACCCCCATTGATACCAAACACCCGCCATTGATGTCCAACACCCCTCACTGGGTGCCCAACACCCCTCAATGGGTGCCCAACACCCTTCAATGGGTGCCCAACACCCCTCACTGGGTGCCCAACACCCTTCAATGGGTGCCCAACACCCCTCACTGGGTGCCCAACACCCTCACTGGGTGCCCAACACCCCTCACTGGGTGCCCAACACCCCCCACTGGGTGCCCAACACCCCCCAATGGGTGCCCAACACCCCTCAATGAGTGCCCAACACCCCTCACTGGGTGCCCAACACCCTCACTGGGTGCCCAACACCCCTCACTGGGTGCCCAACACCCCTCACTGGGTGCCCAGCACCCCTCACTGGGTGCCCAACACCTTCACTGGGTGCCCAACACCCCTCACTGGGTGCCCAACACCCCTCAGTGGGTGCCCAACACCCTCACTGGGTGCCCAACACCCCTCAATGGGTGCCCAACACCCCTCACTGGGTGCCCAACACCCCCGCCCACCCCGTTGTCCCCGTCCCGGCAGGACATGAGCGCGCTGGTGGCGGCGCGGATGCGGCACATCCCGCTGGCGCCCGGCTCCGACTGGCGGGACCTGCCCAACATCGAGGTGCGGCTGTCGGACGGAACCAACACCCGCAAGCTGCGCTACACCCACCACGAGCGCAAGAACGGCCGCAGCAGCTCCGGCGCCCTGCGCGGCGTCTGCTCCTGCGCCGAAGGTGGGTGCCGCAACGCCGGGAACGCCGCCGGCGCGCCGGCCGGGCGTCGCCCGTTCCGCCCAATTCCGGGGTTTGGCGGTTGTCGTGTTGTTGGTGTTCCCCAGGGAAGCCGTGCGACCCGGCCGACCGGCAGTTCAACACCCTGATCCCGTGGTGCCTGCCGCACACCGGGAACCGGCACAACCACTGGGCCGGGCTGTACGGGCGCCTGGAGTGGGACGGCTTCTTCAGCACCACCGTCACCAACCCCGAGCCCATGGGCAAACAGGTGGGGACGGCGGTCACGACCCTCGGGGGGGTCGGGGGGTGACCACAGTCGCGGTGTCACGGCCTCGGTGGTGTCCGGTGGTCACGACCCTCGGGGGGGTCAGGGGGTGACCACAGTCGCGGTGTCACGGCCTCGGTGGTGTCCGGTGGTCACGGTCACAACCCGCGGGTGGGTTGGGTGGTGAGCGATGGTCACCGTGACCCGGTGGTGGGGTGTGATGGTCACCAATGGTCAGCAATGTCCCGGTGGTGGGGTGTGACAGTCCCCAGTGTCCCCACGGGTGGGGTGTGACAGTCCCCAGTGTCCCCATGGCTGTCCCGGTGGTGGGATCCCAGTGTCCCCAGTGTCCACGGGTGGGGTCCCAGTGTCCCCACGGGTGTCCCACAGGTGGGGTCCGAGTGTCTCCAGTGTCCCCAGTGTCCCCATGGGTGGGGTCCCAGTGTCCCCATGGGTGGGGTCCCAGTGTCCCCAGTGTCCCCATGGGTGGGGTCCCAGTGTCCCCAGTGTCCCCACAGTTGTCCCCAGTGTCCCCACGGGTGTCCCCAGTGTCCCCATGGGTGTCCCCAGTGTCCCCATGGGTGTCCCACGGGTGGGGTCCGAGTGTCTCCAGTGTCCCCAGTGTCCCACCGGTGGGGTCCCAGTGTCCCCCGTGTCCCCACGGGTGTCCCCAGTGTCCCCACGGGTGTCCCACGGGTGGGGTCCCAGTGTCTCCAGTGTCCCCAGTGTCCCCATGGGTGGGGTCCCAGTGTCCCCCGTGTCCCCACAGGTGTCCCCAGTGTCCCCACAGTTGTCCCCAGTGTCCCCACGGGTGCCCCCAGT